TTTACAAATTTCCTCATCATCCTAGACGGGATGGTATTTATGGTTGCTCCATTATAAATGAGCACTTTCGCCACAGGTATACTATTGATTAAGGCCTTTACATACAATGGTCTTAAATGATTGGTTAATTTCATGGTTGGTCTCTTAAATATGACCTTTGCAGCTACGTCTATTTCCACTTCCTGTTTGTCTTACGTTGAATTATCTCTTTGTGATAAGTCAACATGCAGTATTTTGTACTGAATTTCTGCTTCTTGAATTTCATCATTACTTTTCTCGAGTCCTCCTTCTTCAGTTATCCAATCGGTAGGGAGAGGCAATATTCGGTGACCTATATTTCTCAGAATGAGGCACTCTATTCTTTCTCTTGGGTGTCCCGTATAACACATAGTAGTCAAAAGAACGCCCAGATGGTTCTCCAAACAAAACTACCTCGTGAACACCTTCCCGATGTAATTGCTTCAACAAAGTATTGCGCGACACTCCTCTTCTTTTTCTCCCTACTTCTAAATCAATTTCCTCTTCAATATCAGTCATGCCATCGTCCTCATCTTCATTATATACTTCTTGGGATGTTTGGTCTTCCTCACATTCCAGCACACATGCTTCTTCCTTATTACCTTCCCTTTCCTCCTCTTCGTTTTCTTTATTTTTGAATTCGTGGCTAGTAAATAATTATTAGCCATAACAGGAGGTAACGTACCAAATTGGATGGTGAGAGGTTGCTCTGGATCTTCTTCATATTTCTTCCTACGCTCAAACTTTGATCTCTCGGAAGAAATTTTTGGTAACTCCTCCATTGATTCGCCCATACCGACTTCTTTACCATTTTTAAGAACATTCTGGTTGGCCACCTCGAGCAATTTAGGTACCTTAGGACGTGGCAATCCCTATTGTTTCCTAATCATTCATCCATAGTTCCATTGAAAATGTCTTTGTTGGATTCTGGTCATCCCATTGAAAGGTACAACCCTTCCCGCATTATACTGGAATGAATGCCATACATTTGGTTGGCGAGGTTGCGACATGAATGTCCTTCCATTGTTTATCGGCCTGAACTACCTCTCCAACTATAGAATGATGCACCCGTCCTCCACTAAGCTGGATATTTAGGACAATATTAGGGCAATGGTAATGTCGCCATATTCTTGGTCTTTCTATGTTTGCATTCACTTCTCCCCTTCATCTCGCACACAAAATGCCTTCACCTTCTCTAGGCTCATTTTCCTTGATACGCTCAAAGAAGTTGGGATATGGCTCAAGATCTTTTTCTTCTTCATCTACAACTAACTTGAATCTTGATAACTTGTTTTTGAAACCAGTCGTTACCATGTTCACCCCAAGTGGCTGTGGGAAAGGATTTTCATCCACTACCATTTTCTTTTTAGCCTCAAATGTGATCCGCCTTGACTCGATAACAACCTATAACATATGATGAAAGACCAAGCAATTATTAGTCATATGTAACCATGCATTGTGCCATTTACAATATTTTTTACCTTTAATTTGTTCAGGGTCTGGCAATTTATGCTTGTTGCTGAACTTTATCTGCTTATCCTTATATAATTTATCGAATATCAAGTCAGCCTTGGTCACATCAAATGAGAATACCCTAGCCTTTCTATTTTCATTTTTTACAGGCTCATCCTTACCTGATGTTCTAAATTTGGTCATTATAAAACAAGCATATGCATCTCCTTTAATCAATTCGGCCAGACATACTTCTGTCTAATCATAATATTTATCATTAATAGCATAAACATCGAAGTTTGGGTTTGTATAATAAGTCCTTTTGCTAGAGTTTATCATTTGTTCTTCTTCTCTTACCAATCGTTCATATCTAATTATGATCATACTCAGTTGGAAAAGGTCAGAAAATTCCCTATCTTGAAATTTCTTTTTTAAATCGAAACTCCATCAACTTTGAGCGATTTTGACGAATTCCTTTTCGGGCAGAGGTATAAAAATTTGCTCATGACTGTTTTAAATCTATGAAGGAAACTTTCTTTCCATTCATTTGGCATTTGACGTAAATTCGCCAAGTCGGCTAAAGTAACTTCAGATTCAATTTTGTAAAACTGAGCATGGAACAATTGTTCTAGTTGTTGTCATATTTGGACAGAGTTTGCTGGTAAATTAATGAACCACGAGAAGGCTACTCCTGTTAACGAACTAGGGAATAGTCTTATTTTGTGATAATCAGTTACTTTACCACATTGTAGTGTGAAACGTCCTATCTGTTCCAGAGTAAAGACCTCTCCCAGACTGGTGAATAATGAAAACTATGGTACTTTGTACCCTCTAGGCTACGAATATGCTTGATCTATCCAATCAGGATATGGCTTTGTGTAAGTAGGCCTAATAAAAGGACGCGTCCCAAAAGTCATTTGATCTTGCACTATCTCCATAATTTGATTCATCAACATAGCGTTGGGATCATATGGGACTCCTATAGGTTGATTTACTAGTGGGATTGTTTGAGGCCTAATATTTGGTCATTGAATTGGCGAAGGCGCCATTATTTAGACCATTATTACCGTTAGCCTCAGTATTTCCACCATCATTAACACACGAGGTGTTTTGTCCATTGGTTTGGACATTGTCTCTTGCATTTAGGTTACCCCCAGGTTTGATGTGGATAGTACGAAAGGTGGCTCTATCACTTGATTCAGACTCAGGACTCGAGAATTATGTCCTACAATTGTCCTGGCTTGGAAACTTGGTATAACCGGTTGACAAGTTTGGCCCCTAACTTATTCATTATTTCATTTAACGTGTTTAGTTGTTTGGCCATGTTGTCATAATATGCGTTTCCATTTTGAGTAAATCTTTCCATATTATGAACATTTCGTAGATTTACCTGCTCAACGACATCTTGTGTGAGTTTCCCAAGCAATGCACGCATGGTTCGAGGACTCAATTATGTCATCAGCTCGTAACGACTTTGACTGCTTTGACTATGTCCTTCTGTTCGTGAATTACTTTGCTGCTCCTCATATCATTCGATCACAGACTTGATTATTCCTGACTTGCTGGTTCTTTATCAGAATTTTTATGAGGCATATTACTTCAATTTTCGTATCATCAAACACCAGTGTCCCACTAGGCGTGCCAAATTATTTTGCGCGGATTATCGAGCCTTGCTAACAATTAAAAGATAGTTCAGACGATTGTGTAAGGAACAAACCTCTCGAGATAAAGTTCCAACGATGTGTACTTTATTTATAAAGATTACAATGAGGAAGAAGCAAAACGACTCCAAAGGGCACAAGCACACAAAGTAATTTGAAAGTTGATGATAAGACCTAAAAGAAATGAAGTTACATATTTTATGTTTGAGAGTGATTGATTCTTTTTTTACTTCTATGTCTTCTTTTTTCTTTTATACACCCTTGCTAGTTTTCTTTGTAAAATCATTTGGAAATTACTTGTCGCTCTATAACTACCCACTTGCTTCATAATGACTGACGTGTTGAGGAACCATCGTTTTTAAACGGCTGTTATTCCTCCCCTCTTTTATCTACTTGCAATCGAGATTCTTGGATCGTGGGACGTGATAAGATTGTTCAATAAACTGGTTCAATAACCGCCACTTTAAATAACAAGAAGACACTGTATTTGCTCAGATCTTGGGCATCTCGAAGGCTTGAGCGAGAATGGGACCGTCGCTGTGAGCAACAACAAGGTACTTCATTCGCTCAAACTCTGGGCGTCCTGCAGGTTTGGGCGATAATAGTTCTTCGCTTATGGGCATTCACTATATTTTACAATGGTCTCATTTTGGTCTATCCCTCAAATTCCCTAACTGGGCCCCATTTCTTGGACCATTTAATTGGGCCTTATTTTTATATGTCAACAAATATGTATGCCACGTAGTGTAACTACCAACGGTGTTAACTGTGAATAACATTATTCTTCGAGGAAATAGCTGTACAACATCTTCTACCGTACATAATTCCTGATTTTCAAGATTTTTTTCCTATTAGTTTGATTTGACTTTCTGAGAGTAGTGCCGACTGAATTGTATAAATATATTGCTCGTATCACTCTGAATATCAATACATTCAAATTTCCCACAAATTATCTTAGTCGAGATTGCCGAGTGCCTACTGCAATGGAAATAATGGTATTGGTATGGGTGGCTCTCGGCTTGGGTGGGACACGAGATGAGAGCCTCCTCCGGCGATTGTGGAGTGCGACTCTCTTAGGGTGGTGCAAAGCCTCGAATCCGACTACGAGTGTTTGCCAGTTTTCGACAGATATTTTATCTTTGCTTGATGTACATTACGGCTCATGCTGCTTTATTTCCCCTGAAGGAAATCAGGTAGCCCACAATATGGCGGCTTCTACTTCAGTTGATTTTGTAAGTCGTCGTTGAACGGATTATATTCAACATTTTCTTTCGTTTTTTATTAGAGGCGACTTGCACTAGTGAAACGGTTTTGACGTTCAAAAAAAAAGGAAACTTAATTCATGCCTTCAAACATTGCAAAGAATCCAAACGGAGAAGTTGCACCGAATGGCTGCCAGAAGATGGAGAGAATTTAATAACATCATATTCATATTATAGTTGAAGAAATATTACAATTTTAGTGTGAAGTTACGAAGTTTATACAGATCTTGAATATTATTACACAAACAGTTCAGCAGATAAAAGAAGCTCAGTCCACCTTTCATGTATATAAATTCTGTTTAACTATTTGTAATGAAACTATGCATGAACACAAATGTGAATATATCAACTGCACTAAAATATTTACTTCCTTCTCTATAGAATAATATCACCTAATCAATTTGTTAACAGAGCATGATCCACAAGTCACTGCAAGCTGTTCAGTCCATCAGTAGTCATGTTTTCCTACAGTTTTTGCCTCTTGGGGGGAGATCGGATTAGGCAACTCTCTGGAGTCACCACTTGATGAGGATATATTAAGCCCGTACTCACTTGTTTCTCCATATTCGCTACTTGGAAATTCTTGGCTTGACATCACCATCTTCCTGAACTTCATCATGTCAGCATTGTAGGCTCCAGTGTCATAAGTTTCAGTGTTCCCAGTTGGATTATTATAGGGCGTTCCGTGGGCTGTTTTCCCAACATCATTTAAGTCCTCTAACGATGCATCTCCATCCAAAGTGCGTACAATCTAAATACAGAGTTTTCATTAATGAGACTATGTAGTCATATATTCAAACATTTTCTTAAAAAGATACACATTACAGTTACCTGACTCATCCTAGGACGCCGTCTTGCAGAATTGCGTATACAGGCAGCAGCACAGGCTACCATACGAGCCATCTCTTGGGGACCATAGTTACCTTGAAGACGTGGATCCACTAGTTCACTGTAATTTCCATCTTCTACGGATTTTAATAGAAGCGGCCTAGCCTGTTTATTTCATAGTAATTGGGAAAGGATAGAAAATGAAAATAGGAAACATTCTTCCACCAAATATAACAGGGAACTTCGATGGCACTATTATTAATTGAAGGTACGTGATATAAGAATGGAGAACGAACCCAATCTACTAAGCTGTCTTCCATAATTTTGCCTGTAGGATCAACAGGTCTCCTCCCAGTTATGAGTTCCAATAGCATCACTCCATATGAGAAAACATCAGATTTTTCTGTTAGCTTGCCACTTGATGCATATTCAGGAGCCAAATACCTGAATTTCAAGTAGTTAAATTCAGAATTAGCATGTTTATCAGGCTATTTCAGTTTAAAATCCAGCATTTCCTTTCGTAAGATGCAAATGTTGAAAATCCTAGGATGAATATATTCTAGGAAACATTTAGGCATTGCTAAAACTGAAAAACCACCTCAACATTTCCATTCTTGTTACAGTTAATTGTCATAATGATTCTCTATCAGTCAAGAGAGCAATAGAATACAATCACACCTAACGAAATGTAAATTGCGTACCCAAACGTTCCCATGACACGTGTGGAGATGTGAGTGTAATTTTCTGAAGTGAGCTTAGCCAATCCAAAGTCTGCCACCTAGATAACATGTAAAACATCAAGAAAACGATTGTGTTATAGTAACAACCAGTCATCCTCTAGGACTTCTGCTGAAGCTACGTATACAAAATTTAAATATTACTGTGGCTTCAAAATTGTAGTCAAGGAGAATGTTTGCTGCTTTGATGTCGCGGTGGATAATTCGTGGGTGACCTGCAATCATATAGGGAAATAGGAAGACATATCAACTAACGAACTTACATCAAGTTTGTGGGGAGGAATAGTTGAGAAATGCATACAGTCTTCATGCAGATAACCAAGCCCCTTGGCAGATCCCAATGCAATTCTAAGCCTAGTTGCCCAATCCATAACTGGTTGACCCTTTCCTGCAACCATGTATTAACCTTTTTAGCATTCATAAATCATATATTATTGACGTGCACCAGCGGATATCATAATGAAAAGAAGTTAAAATATTGCTTATTATTGACAGTAGCAAGAAACTTACCATGAAGGTGGAACTCCAAGGTCCCATTGGGGACAAATTCATATACCAACATTCTCTGTGAATCAGCAACAAAGTATCCAACGAGAGACACAAGGTGGCGATGATGGACACGACTAATGATTTCAACCTCAGCCTGGAATTCTCTTTCTCCTTGTCCACTACCGGATTTGAGACTCTTAACCGCCACTTCTTTTCCATCAGGTAAGATACCTTTGTGCACAAACCCAAATCCACCTTGTCCTAACAAATTGGCCTGAGAAAATCCTCCCGTCGCGGCTGCTAGTTCTTCATAAGTGAATTGGCTTTTGGTAAAGCCATTAATACCACCCACGTTGGGAGATGGAGGTTGCCTAGGAGTCTGATGCTGCCCTGAGAAACCGGAGCTAAACTCACTGCTGCTATTTGCCGGTACTGGTTGAGTTGGCGGTGCCGCCGCCCAGCCCCCAATGTGGCCTATGGGCGTTCCCATAACACCTGGTGATAGAGGAATCTTAACAATGTGTTCCATAGGCTGGGGACTATTCCATTGTGTGGAAGTTTGGAAGTACATCTCTGTACCTGAAAGCCAAAGAAACAGAGCACATAACCGGAGTTACTCCTTCTGTAAAACTTGGGTAAAAAAATTGAGAAATTAAAGCTATTGTCTTATTGATCAAACAAACCTTTGGGCGGATGTCCGGGGCTCATGTAATACATCTGTTTCTTGTCTCTTCTCGACCTTGACCATATTAGGCATATAATGAGTATGGCAAGAATTACGACTCCCCCAACAGCTATTCCAGCAATGATTGCTACATTTGTGGAATTTGAGGAATCAGACGGTGGTGGCGAATGACCAGAGCCTCCTGAAGAACCTGACGGCTTGTTAGTTGGTGCTGAATGTGAAGGAGGAGGCGGGGTAAAAGGGCCAGATAGAGGTGTGTGTGAAACAGCTGTTGGAGGGGGCGGAGAGAAGAGAGGTGCAGGAGGAGAACCGGGAGCGGTATGAGTTGGAGGAGGCGGAGATAAAGGAGTGGTCGATGGGGGAGGAGGTGACGTGGTTGGAGTTGGTTCCTTTGGGGGTGGGGAATGGGGTAAAGGGGGTGGAGACTCTTTGGGAGGTGAGGTGGTGGCAGGGGGAGGAGAAGAATTTGACGGGACAGGAGGTGGAGAGGCTGGAGGAGAAGGCGGAGGGGATGTTGGAGGGGCTGGTGGAGGAGAAGCCGGTGGTGGTGATGTTGGAGGAGCTGGTGGAGGAGAAGCCGGTGGTGGTGACTTTGGTGGTGGCGATGCAGGCGGAGATGAAGCTGGTGGTTTTGAATTCAACGATGTTGCGGCTTCTGGAGGTTGTTGTAGAGAGTCTGGAGTCTTTTCAATAAAATTCTGTGATGGAGCAGTCTGAGGAGATGTTGCCATTTGCCAGAAATGAAGTCCCCGGAAAAAGATTCACTTGGGAAACTCAAATTTCTCCCATAAACTGCTCTTCACAACAATTCAGTGCCCCTAAACATACATGGATTCATTGCCAACATCATTCAGAACATCTTCAATACTTTGCAGAAATTCATTCTAAAAACAACATAGGATTAATAAAACTGCAATGACAAACCAACAGAGAGAAATGTAGATAGGTACCTTAGAGAAGAAATTTGTTGGGGTCCTCAATCTCGAGAGAGAGAGAGAGAGGCATTGCATTGCGATTTTTGCATGTCAGAAAAGGCTACCCTTCGTCTCCTACAAAGAAGGACCTCTCTCCTTCATTTCTTTCCCAAATCTACCTCTATTTTAGGCAGGAATCAGTTACATTTTTCTTTTCTTTTTTTCGCCAGATCCGTGTATTGGCCTTTGTAATTTTGTTACTCACCAATACATTATTTGGGGGTGACAGCAATTCTCGATACCACTTGATTCAGATTCTTCAGATTTCGAGGGATTAAGGAACGAAAACATTAAAACAAATAAGGTTCCGATTGATTGCAATTGTGGAAAATTGGTAGAAAGAAAATGAATTACAGGGAAAGCAATTGCCTAAAAATTGTTTTGTAGAGAATTGTTAATTAATTGTATTTTATTGGCATAATTTTTCATCCAAAAGATTTTTAAATTTTGTATTCGTTTGACTTTGTTTTACATGAAAATTGTCCATTAAAATGATAATTTTTTTCCACAATTAGTTATAAAATTTGTTTCAATTGCCAAAAAGTAAAAACAAAAAACAAAAAAAAAATATTTCCTAGAATATCATTTTTTTAATCAAAATTTAGTGTTCGTTTGACTTTGTTTTACATGAAAATTATCAATTAAAGTGAATTTTTTTTTTTCAATTTGTTATGAAATTTGTTTCAAGAAAAAAAGTTATAATTCCATTTCCCACCAAAATGGTGGGAAAATCAATTCACCTATTTTGAAGAAAATGTACACGTGTAAAGGAATCTTCGAAAACCAATTCCATAGTAAATATTTGCTATCAAACAAGGTTAAAGTTGGAAAATGGAATTCTTTTTCCATTTTCCATGGAATTTAAGGGGTATCAAACTGGGTAAATGTTCGCTTACTATTTCCGAGTATATTGCTATAACTACATGCCACCCATTCGTACGAGCCTACCTTCCTCTTGTCATATTCAAATATGAAATGCAATTATGAAAATACAGCATCACTTGTTTCTTACTCGAGGCTTCTTTTATGTAGGGGCATGTATAAATAATGAACAAATAAACTGTTAGAATTTGATGTGCTCGAATTCCTTGTTGGAGTAATTGAAGTGCATATCAAGAAGAATTCAGTTTGAAATGCCATTAGAGTCCTATGTCAACTTGAAGTTTTATTTTGAAAACCCATTGAGAGTTGTAATTTGTTTTGGACTAGATTTTTGGTATCCTACTTCATCAACAACTCTACTATAAGGGTTTGGACATCCTCTACATATTCCCTATAAATATTAGGCTCTTCTATACAATTTTATGGTGTGAGAAAATAAATTATTAGAATTATAGGATCTATTATAATTTTTCTCCATTCTCCATTATTCTTGAGTCAATAAAATCTCTTAATTACTCTATTATATTCTTGTCTTCATTATTCTTTTACTTGATCGTATATTTCATTATTATTTGTCATATAACTTCAACATCTCAATCTGATAGTTTGTTTAACAACAATTGGTATCGGAGATATTCTGATATCTTGTTTGTTTTACAACAATTGGTATTAGAGCGCCAGGTTCAGTAGTTCCGCAAAAGAGCAATGTTTGGTTTGTTCGAGGTTTTTTATTCGTGATGGCTTCCTGAAGTATGACATTTCACTTGTGGATCGGAACACTAGATATTCACTATGACAGGTTAAGATGCGTGCATTACTCGCACAGTTGGATTTGGATGATGCGTTGTTGGGAATTGACAGGATGCCCGCAACTTTGACCGCGGAGGAGAAATTAGAGAAGGATAAGAATGAAATTTCTCACATTCATTTTCATCTATCAAATACTATTATTTAGGATGTTTTGAAGGAGAATTCAGTAGCTCCTTTATGGTTGAGGTTGGAGCAATTGTGCGTAACCAAAAGTCTGACAAGTAAGTTAAATCTCAAGCAGCATTTATACTCTCATCGAATGGCAGAAGGAGGATTTTTGGAACTCACCTGACTGTACTTAAGGAGATCGTCGCTGATTTGGAAACTTTGAAAGTAGAGTATGATGAAGAAGATTTGGCCTTGATCCTATTATATTTGTTGCCCGCTTCATTTTCTTCATTTAGAGATACAATCTTGTATAGTTATGATACTCTCACCATAGAGGTCATATGATGCTTTGTACTCAAAAGAGAAGATGAAACATCTGATTTCTGAGGCTAGGGATGGAGAAGGTCTGGTTGCTCATAGTGGTTATGGAAGGGGCAGATCGAAATCTAAGTTCAGCAATCAAATTTGTAACTACTACAAGAAGAAGGGGCACTTAAAGAAGGATTGTTACAAATTGCAGAATAAAGAAATGATGGTTGCAAGTAGATATTTAGATACTTTAGGCGAAGCAGACCTCACAGAGAACGTTGTAAGTGATGTAAATCTCTTATCTATTTTTGACATTGAGTCTAAATCGGAAGATGATTGAATTCTTAATTCAGCATGTGTGTTTCATATGTGTCCTAATAAGGACTTGTTTACTACATATAAAAGTTGTTTCCAAATGTGTCGTGGTTATAGGAAACAACGCATCTTATCGGGTTGCTGGAATTGGTTCAGTCAGATTAAAGTTTTTGGATGGAACAATTAGAATACTTGGCCAGGTTCGACATGTTCCAGATTTGAAGAAGAACCTCATCTCGTTATCTATCCTTGATTCAAAGTATTATGAATTCTTCGGTGGATGTGGAGTTTTGAAGGTTTGTAAGGGTGCCCAAGTTATAATAGATGGATAGAAATTAGAAAATGTCTCAATTATACATCTTGCAGGGTCGTGTAGAGTTTAGAAGAGTCAATCAACACAAGTTCAGTACTGTGATGGACATTCAGTTTGGTACAATACCTTTAGGAGCTCATAAATGGTCAGATTTGAAAAATACAGTTCAGTGGAGTTTAGGAAATATGAATAACGCTGCTTTGCTACCATCACCTACAGTGCCATTGTATTCAATTGGTAGGGACGGACCTAATGGAAAAGGGTATGTAGATGTTGATTTTGTTGACCATACTTTAAATGGAGTAGAATGTATACAATCTAGCAACGGGCCTTCTTTAAAAGCATTTGAGTTTGATTTTGCTTTGGGGGTGTGTTATAGCCCATTTTGATAAATTATAAAATAATTATGATTTTTTAAAATCTAAGGTAATTCTACAGAGTAGTGCTTGGATTTATTGGAAGAAGTAGAGTAATTAATTTTTTGGTAATTGTTGAAGAAGTCAATTCATTCATTGATGTAATTTGTATCAAGGTGGAGATTGTTAGAATTTGGATGTGACTCGAATTTCTTGTTGAAATAATTGAAGAATTCTAATTGAAGTGCACATTAAGAAAAATTCAGTTTGGAATACTATTGGAGTCATATGTCAAGTTGAAATTTTATTTTGAAAGCCCATTGGGAATTGTAATTTGTTTTGGACTCGATTTTTTAGTATCCTACTTCATCAACAACTCTACTAGGAAGGTTTGAACATCCCCTACGTGTTCCCTATAAATATTAGGTTCTTCTATAAAATTTTATTATGTGAGATATATGATTACTAGAATTATAGGATCCATTATAATATTATTTCTTTCTCCATATAGATTACTATAATTATAGGATCCATTATAATTTTTCTTTATTCTCCATTATTCTTAAGTCAATAAAATCTCTTAATTCATTTACCATATTCTTGCCTTTATTATTCTTTTGCTTGATCATATTCTTTCATCATTATTTGACATATAATTTCAATATCTCAATCTGATAGTTTGTTTCACAACAATTGGTATCAGAGATATTCTAGTATTTTGTTTGTTTTACAATATAAATTATCGAAATTTCGTTGATTTCAAATGAATACTGCAACAAAATCACCTTCTAGTTTTTTTTTATTCTTAATAATACCAGAAATCTAGACATCAAAAACTCGTTTATTTTAAATATCAAATACTGAAAATTTATGGGTGCGTGTGGTTTCTTTTTCTTAGGTTGTTTTTAGTTTTCAATTTTGCAAAACACTACAAATGTGTTTGGTATGATATTTCAGAAAATGCACTTTCGAAAACAAGGATAAACTTATAATATAAAACTCAAAACACATTTTTGACATTTAAAGCTTTTTAATGAAAATTCTGAAAAACTCGAAACATGGAAAACATGTGTTTAAATAAAATCTTATTTAAACAAATTTTAGAAATTAAAAAAATATAAAATTCTAAAAATAAAATAAAAACTAACATTCTAAATAAAAACTATGAAAAAATAAAATTATAAAAGTGTCTAGAAAAATAAAAGTTGAAAAAATAGTTAAACTCTTAGCGATTATTTACATAAAATTCTAAGAAGAATATTTAACTACACATAAATAAATATTTCAATCCACGTAATTAATTTTTGTTTTCCTTTCCTCATTTTGAACTCAATTAATTATTTATTATTATGTTACTTTTGTAGCGTGGAAAATATTATAAAATTTATCAACTTGAAAATATATATATTACATGATAATATATAATATAATTTTTACCATATAATCGAATTTCATGGACAATTTTTCAAAACTTCAAACCAAATATTTTTTCAAAATGACAAATCAAATGTGTTTTTAACAATTTTAAAAAGAGACGCCCAAAATACAAAATGGAAAATGAACTAGAAATTGAAAATTGAAAACACAAACCAAACAAATCATATGATATTGAAAAACTCCAAAGTCTATCATTTCAATTCAAAAATAACTCATTGACATGATGG